CTCTTTCCGAACGTAATATTTCTATCAACGTGATCTTATTATACGTAAATTATATAAAATTCTCTCGCTAATGCTATTAATAACAAATTGTTTTATAAAATTTTGAAACAATTTCCTCTTTTTTCGGAAATATTTTTTCTTGAAATATAATAAAAGTTGACGACTTTTTACTGATTTATAGAGTATTTGATGAGAAAATGATTCAAGTAGGACCGAAATAATATGCGCGCAAACGTCCGGCACTTGGCAAGATTTATAAGTGACAGAATCTTGGCAAGTTATGCCACTTAGCGAGTGAACACGATCGGCTAAATCACGTAAATGGATACACCTCGATTATCGTCGGATCGTTGGAAACTCGATACACGTGACGTGAAACGCAAATGTGCATCACTGCAGTTTCCTTCTCTAGGTTAGTGGATTTATCAACTCGATGTAAATTATCTACGATATCAAGTATTTCAAATTAATTGATATGCTTTAATAGCAGATGCTTTTAATAAACTAATGCAAAATTTGGATTTGACACTGAGAATTATTAATAAAAATCTAAATTCTACGTCGCTACGCGGAACAGCTAACTCTTCGGCAAAACTTTGAATATGTAAGAAATTTTCTATAGTAAAACCACGCCAATAATTATATCACGTCGATGGAGCTATAGGTGTGATTAGAATTAAAAAAAAAATACAAGAGGACTTTTATCGTTTGCTGCGCAAACACGTTCGCGCATTGACGTAATTCTTATCCTCGGTGTGAATTATCTTCGCATTACGCATTCTATCACTGACTGAATACAAAGTACAAAAATACTTCGTGCCAAGAGTGCGCGCTTACTGTAAGCTAGATTGTTTTCTTGTTTAATCGGACGAAAACGTTCATGTCGCATCGCATGGAAAAGATTAATAAATAATCTCGTGAAAAAAATACATATTCGCATGAACTCGCGCGGCTGTTCATTAGCCGCACACAACATTTTCTTCTCGTTGTATTTCACAAAGGCACTACGAGAAAAGCCTAAAGCACATACACGATTATAAGGTGGCGGTGCCGACGATGTTATGTCATCGCTACAGCCACGCCAGCCTCTCATTTCATACCGTTACATTACGTTTCCCCGGCACACGGCTAATCTGTGTTACTCGCGCCTGTCCGTTGTGCACACCGCTTCTTGTTCCTCTTCACTAGCAAGGTCTATCTTTCTACGCGGCGCGCCATTCCCGCGTGCCAATTTGCGGCGGTATATTCGCGGAAACGGTACTACATATTCCAGATGCCTGCTCGTAAATGTGAAAAACAGAAAACATGTCGAACAAAATGATAAAAGTTTCAAGAAATTTCAGTATCAATATTTAAGTAGAACTTTATAGTTCCGTAATAAAAATTTCTCCGAAAACATTCTTACACAATTCTGAAAACAATTGTTTGTAAAAAGCTGTGATTGATGAGAAACCAATGCTACTTTTGTTTAAGAAAAAATAATATTCTGAAGCAGTTCGTCTAATAACGGTATAATTCCATTGTCGAAAAGTATCAGTATGCACGAGCAAGCATGAGGGCTCGTTATCAGCGTTCCCACCCACCACTTGCGAGCCCCCTCCCCTCTCGCGGTGACAAGCGCGATGCGCAAATAAATGAAGTGTCGGAACCAGCGGCGCGTCCGGCCGCGATCGCGTCGCTGGCAACAAATTGGCGGCACAAAGCGGCAACAAAATGCGATGATGCCGCTAAATGGATGTAATTTCGAGTTAACCACACGTTTGCTCCCATCTGCCTGCCGCCGCAGTTGTGATCGGTTCGCATCGCAGCTGGCTAGAAAAAGAGAAGGCGAGGGTTGCACGCGGCCGGCAAGGGAGAAAGGCAAATTAATTTCGACGGCACTGGGCTCGCGAGGTCGTTCACACCGAGAAAAAGTGACGGCTGGATATCTGGAATATCCCGGAGGAGAAGTTAGGAAGATCGACACGCAAGTTCCACGAATTACCGTCAGTTTCGCGAATTTATTTAGTAGAATTTTAGGGTGTTTATTAAAGAAGAATGTCGGCACAACTTTGAAAAGGAAATTTAGAGTTTTGTATGTAAATTTTTATACGCGTAACTTTCACGAGAGAAATTTTATATATAATAAACTCTTAATTATTTCTAATCCACATCAGACATTCTCGGAATAGGTATAATTTTGTTTCAAGTGTATTGAACGCAGGAACGCGCCCTTTCCAAACAGCGAGAGGATGAAATGGAAACCGGGTGTAAGCGTCTCCTCGATTGTCATCTCATACGAAAAAGAACTGAACGAAGCAAAATGAGGAAGGAAGCAGCTGTTGTGCACATGGTTTTCCAAGTAACAGTCATTGTGCGCAATTTTGCAATTCATACATTTACGCTTCTCATCGTATGCGGTCATTGGCATTAAAAATTATCTTATTCATTTATATATTATTATCATATCTGCTTACTATTATCATATCATCTACTGTAACATAATGACAAGTATAAATTAATGAAAATTGTTTTCATCGTCATAGTCGGGCGTTGTGCGTACAAAATTATTCCACAGAATCTTATTATTACTGATAAAGTGCAAGAAAATGCTATGGTAGATGCACGATGATCGCGACGGAACGTAAAAACGCTCGCAATCGCTCATTCGTCAGCACCGACAGGATCGCTTTCATCGTTCGCGGCGGTGAAGCCGATTACGTCGCGACTCGACTTACAAATCCGCTCGGGCATTTCCATCTTATCAGCATTGCAAATTGATAATGCGCGAGGAGCGACGCGGGGCCCGCCGGCGGAAGAAAAAACATTCATGCGACCCGATGACCCCGCCTGGTTATTAACCTTTTCAGCGCGGACTCGTTCGAACAAACGGAGCCGTTGCTGCATCACTAAATGAAGCAAAAGCGCAGAGTTTCACTTTTCAACTACAAAACCTTGCAAAAGTATAATTTATAGCGTTTAAAAGAACTGGTTTTACATACGATCCTTCCTGAAATTCTTTCCTAATTATATATCGTTTTTTTTATCAAAATTGTAATTAAATCCATTTAAGATAGCATATAACTAAATTATTTATGTTCACAATCCTTTTCAAAAACATTTAAAAAATTCAAACTAACGATTTCTTTATGTTCTCCGATATCCAAGTCGGGGACATCAAGTGGAATACTTTCAACGAATCTAATGAACTGCATTCAACGTTAGCGGATGGTAGTTGTATTCTACGATCGTGCGGCAGGAACTGCATCCGATTCGCGTTAACGAGGTACGAACGCAACCGTTTTCGAGCGCCCATCCGACACGCCCAACCGGATGTACGGCAGTCCTACACTTCCACCCACACACGCGCATAGCTTGTTCCCCACGTGCGCGCACGGTGCGAGCGCGCGGGAGCGAGGGAGTACAGCTGCGTGTATGCATTTCGCGGGGAATGACAGTACCTGGTCACATGGCCGGGAGATGAAAAGTGAAAGTAACCAAGGCTAGTACAAAGAAGTCATTGAGGAATTCGAGGGAACGCGCGCGCGCGCGCGCGGTCGACGTACGCGCGAGAATTCCACATTTCTAACAAGGTTAAGGAAAAAAATCGGATCGACAATTGCTATTTCGAAATCGGATCACGATTCCTGCATGCGATAATATCACAGACCTTTCTCTCAAGTGTTTCGAAATTATCATTTTTCGTGCAGTTATTTTTAATAATGAAGTATATAATTTGCTTAATGTACTCAGCATGATTTTTAACAATGCTTTTATATTCCTACGCCTATAATATAAATAGCTCATTAATTATTCCGTAAAGCACGATTATGACATAACCAGTTTTTAATCCGTGTTCACCAATACGCCAGCCGCTAATAATGATAAAAGAGTTTAATTTCCTCATATCTCTGCGCTATAGAAGACATCGATTGCTTATACTGCTTTAATGAAGATATCTATTGCTTACATTGCTTTAATGACTCAAACCGCGTGTATCAAACAAGATTAATCGCAAATACAGTTGGGTCAACATTTATAGAAAGTAATATTGATGGACATATTTAACCTCTTCTGCCGGAGAGAGAATTTCATTACATTCAATAAAAAATTCGCGTGGTATTTAAGGGCTAATCGCGTGTGACCAATGTACAAACGCATGCAAACTTGCCCGCTATATTCTCACGACGCAATCAGGCGGCCACTTTTCCCATACGCACGCGAGCGAGCAAGGCCGCGTTTACTTTCGAGCAATGAAATCTGAATTGGCCGCGAGCCATGTCGGTACCGTTTTAACGATTGTATGATAATTGGTAATCACGCACCGGGGCCGAGGCGCACGATTATTACGATCGTCTATTAAAGAGCTAATTCTCGGTCATGGGCACGATAAGTTCACCGATCCTCTCGACCGTTCGTTATCCTAATTGGAAGATTCTTTCCGGATAAAGACCGTCTTTTAGGAAAACCCGAACAATTTAATTGCGGCGATACTGCGGGCGTTGCGCGCCGCGTATTAATGCGTACTATCCGCTCGGGTCAGCCTCTCCTATCGAGTGACGGCCGTCAAATTAAGGCTCGCAACGTCATTAAGGATCAAAACAACATCACATCTGAATTTCTTTCAATATTCGTATTCCCGAGAACCTTGTTCGTAAGTTGCTCGTTAATTTTGATAAGCAAGTAATATGTGAAGTAAAATTATTGATGAAATTTATACTCATTCCAGCTAAAAATATTGGTGTACAACACGCATAAGAAATTATTTACAAAATGCCTATAAAAACCTAATAAACTTTCGCATTTCAAATATTTTTTTCTTCAATCGTAATTAAATATTAATCATATTTCAAAATTATTTTATATGTGAAATATTGGCCCACATATATGTAAATCGTTTCTAGCAAAATTTGTACAAGTAATTTATTGAGTGACAGCTGATGCAACCTCAATTTCTATGTTATTGTCCTCCCCATCGCAGCGCTTTCGTAATTCGATTTTCACTTCCGCAATCGCTTTGTAGCACGCGACATCACCCACACAGCAGGTGTCACATGGCGGATGTTACACAGCAATAATAATGTGTGCATCGTTGTTGCAATACAGACAATTAATCGGCTGAACATCAGCTATTCAAGTTTGTCGCGTGTGAGTCAGCTGCATTTGCTTTCAGAGAAAAAATATTCCATTCGTGATTCGAGCGGCCCGAGTCGAATCATTCGCGAACCGAGAGCTTTTCTAGCGTCGACTCGCGATCAACGCAGCGCGTGCACAGAGATTGCAATCTTCGAAGGAAAGGACGGGCAGCCTTGAGATTCCAACATAACATTCAAGTTCGTATGCAAATAATGCCAAACTATCAAGACTCTGTCGGGCACAGGTGCGATCATCCTTAATTTACTACATTCTTTTGGAATTCTTGTGACAAAAAACAAGGTTTTATAACTCAATTGCAATTCAGATGTTAGTTGTATAAGAATTTTTATACAATGATTTGTTTGTCATTTCTTGTTTATATAAAGTATACTTTATAAGCTGTAAACATAATAACATTTATACACTTTACATTAATACTTTGGAATATTTAGAATATTTCCTTTAATCACCGCGTTTAATATAAAATAAAATTGAAAATTTTTTATACTGAATTTTTCAGAAGACTGATAGTATTTGACGTGATTAGCATAACTGACAAATAGTAACGAAGACGGCAACGAGTCTTACTTCACAAAGTGAGAAGAAAGAGCGCGGAAAGGGCGAGAAAGGCCCCCGAGCTACCAGAGAGAATGCCGGGGCCTGACGATATCGGGAAGCCTCGAGATATTCCAGCCGGATGTTATTCCGTATTCCAGCGTTCCCTGCCCACTCTGTTTCCCTGTCGTCGCGGACAGACGCGGCTTTCCGAGCCTGACTTTGCCCATTTTGCATCCGGAGATTGTTATCGCGATTCACTCTGACGCACGATTTATGCGCCGATGCATCGATACGTAGCGCATCAAGTGGAAGAGGCCCGCGCGATTGGCCGTGGGAAGCCATCCTTTATCCATGACTCTGCCAGAGCTTCCTCGAAAATTTATATGGATCTACCATCGATCTTTCGCGCAAAGGTAAGAGCAGTCTTCGCCGAAGCGTTGCTCGGTGTGAAATAAACCGGCTTCGCGCAGTTTATGTAAAACCGTGTATTTTTCCAAGAGTCGCGGTGCAGACTATCTCTAACAGATTCCGGGAACGATTTATCGTTTTTATTTCTATTATAGATACGCCGTGACCAAGATTCGGAGAATTACTTTTAACGAACCGGACAATCAGCCTATTAAATGAATAATCAGTACGGAATATCAAGCACGATTGCAAATTTAAGCGAATGCATTTACAAAGTCAGATAACGCGACGCGAAATGGAAAATTCCAAATTAATAATGCAAACGAGAACGCAATAAAATGAGTTACTTACAGCGAGAGATACAAGATCTGAAAGGACCAGATTGGTAGAAAAATTCATGACGCGTAGGCGTGAATTTATTCGTAGCGTTAACATTTGTCTGTTGTGAGAAATTTTGCGACTGACTGGGATATCAGTACAACGCTGACTTCAGCGTATGTTCTCGCACGTGAATCGCGCATGTTTGTCGGTAATTTAATACGAATAAGCTTCTCGCGTCCGCGACGCGCCGGTTTGCCGTCGCAAATACACAATTTCGTATGCAAAGCGTAACCTATTTGCGAATTTATTGCCGATAATCTCCGGCCACGACTTTCGAGAAGAAACTTTTAGAATGTATAGAAGCGTTATATAAGGATTAATGCACGGACGAATTTCGGAGATTGAAGAAATTTTTATTGCGCTCCGTACAAAACTCGTTAACTTGTATATTTTATTATCATTAGGAACATCCGATTTCACATTAAGTCTTGTCAAGAATAACCACCAATTCTACGGTCTGTACATATATGTATGTATCAATTTATAAAAATTGCATTAAGATCTTTTTCTCTCAAATATTAATAGTAATATTATGCAAAGCACACGATACATTAGACCGATAAATATAAACGTCTCTGTAATTCTAAATTTCATTGCCGAATAAATGTTACATGGCTGTCATTAAAAATGTATCGCAGCTTTTAGAAGCATAAACTTGGAAACCTGAAGTCGTACACGCGCACTCCGAAGCTTCAATCGGCATCGCAAACGTCCGTCGCAGCGAATTTATTCCGCGTTCAAACGCGTCGCCTCGCGAGCCCGTACGTGTTACGTTCGAGATCGGGAGATAGTTATGCAGATAGAAACGCTGCCGCGTGCGCCCGGTCGGGGCGCTTGCGTTTACGCTTGAGGTCGCTGCGTTCCGTTCTGATTATTATCCGCAACCTTAGACAGACCGTGGCATCGGTGTACCGAATGCGTTCCATCGCACATGTGCGAAATGTATTTGCATTAAACTGCCGTTTTAAACAGTTATGACCGTCGCCTTGCGAACGAACGAGAAACCGACCGCGAATCGTTATGTTTTAGCACCGTCACGCGGACGAGAACGATTTTTCACGGTGACGGTTCTAAAACGATTCTATTGCTGGACGTTCGACGTGCGATCGAACATAACCCACTAAATTATAACTTTGAAACAAAAGCAAAAATTATTTCAAGTGCAAAGAATATTTTGCGAGTCTTTTTAAAATAACAAAATTTGATAACGAACGCCGTGGTTTATTAACTTCAAAATGATTAAATATATCGGCAATTAAACCGATTCAATAACTGGATGTCGACAACTCTCGTAAAAGAGCACAGAGTAATTAGCATCAAAGACGCGCTTCGCGAGAACAGTGGTCTTCTATCACGTCTGCGGCAAGCTCATCGCGCAATCGATTACCGCCGAGGCCTCGATCTCTGCGGACTCGCGCGATTATTACTTAACGACTGCATAACGCAAGAAAATGTTTGCGGTTAAGGACGACAGCGAGACGCTGTTACAAATGCATTCCTCCTGTCAGTGGGTCGTCGAAAGTGATCTCACGATTCACTCCTCGCTCCACGATCGAGAAACGCGCCGGAAATATGTGTGGGTGTTCGATACACGAAATCTACATTTGATTTCTATACCGGTCAACTCAAGCACCGAGTCTTACTAGCGTCTATTTTAGGTTCGCGTCATCACAATGATATCATCGAATAAACGGCTTTTCAGAATGCGACCGTTCGAACGCTTTGGTGATTTAAATAAATGACTAGGGGAAAGGTTCCATATCTTTCTTGCTTTGTTACGTTCGAGATCCTGCGTGATTTCATACGACACTCATATTTCATGCTATAATGAAAGGAACGAAGATCTATAAACTGATATAAATATGCAATCAACGATTTAAAAATTCTACAAGTTAATTGAATATAAATGATCGCAGTAATCATAAATTTAAATATTCAGTCTTGACCTTATAATTCCTCGCACGAGTTAAAAAATTATTTATGATATTTAGAAACACGTTTGTTTTTTAACGGGGATGGCGCGTGTTCTGAGGATTTCACGTGCAGCGAAACCGGATATACGGAAGATCATATGCCGATCCGCGCGCGCCGATATTGCCGTAAACACGACGACGGCTTGGCTGGACCGCGACGCTAAATTTGGCGCACATTTGTGGACTTGAGACGCAAAACAAGTTTCCTCGATCGGTCTGGTGGCTGGTATACTTCGATTGGATCAGTCGCGCCGTTTCTCTCGCCGACACGCGAAGGAGAAAGCGAGAGAAGGACAGCGATCCTGTTTAACCTAAACCTTGAGAAGCTGCAAGCTTGACCCAGTGCGTGGTAAGCTGCTAACCGACGATATTTTGCACATCCGCTTAGTTCATCGATCATCTAACTCCTTCCTTCTCTACAAATCGTAGAACTGAATCGCAATTAATAGACTGGCTAGATAAGCTTAATGATTCCGCGATGATTTATACGATAATCGCCGATATAACCTAACGATCCTAGAGTAAAGTCAGAAGCGTTATCGCCGGGTGATAACCATTATTTATCGTTCTACCGTATTATGAAATTACTATTTATATATCTATTACTCCTTATTAAATATTATATCCACGCTGTCATCATTATTTGCACGGAATTTCTTGTTCGTTGCAACAAAAGATGCCGATTCAAGTATTCAAAGCGGTTGCCATGTGACCATGCGAAATTCAGTTATTATTATTCAAGTGGTTCCTCCGAATTTAACCTTCAATAGGATCACGGTCTACATTCTTTCGCGGATGTCCGAGCGTATTAAAACGACCCAGACTTCACGATGCTCCGAAAACAGACGCACGCCCATCCGAGGAGGTCAAAGATCGCAGACGGAATCGAGTGATCATGAGTGTGTGACGCGTGACTTCTTCTATTCGCTTAGTTAACAAACGCCTCCCAGTTCACACGGTCAGGGAAAGACGCAAAAAAGTGTGCACACAGAGAGCGAGCACGAAAAAAAAAAAAAACGAAGTGGTAGAAGAGTATCCGTTTGTGTCATCTGCCTTTCGGCTTGGGAGAGCGCCGGGCATCATGCTCCCTCGCTCGACGCCGCGAAAAAAAACGCGAAACGCTACGCTCGACATAGAATGCGTACACTACAAAACGCAATATTAATTGCATCGTTGATTTCTATGCGAGATTAAAAAACGGCTTCAATAATAATAAATTAATGACAACAAAAAAAAGACATGTTTAGAAAATATATGAAAGTAATATTTAATCCAAACCCAATAATTTTATGTATAAAATTCTATCTAAAAATTCCGGAATATATTTATCAAAAAATAGATTTATACAAAATCTCCTTAGTCTGCTTTATCTCCTTCGAAGCGGTACCCTTGAAGCGCATATAATGTTTCTGTCAAGATTGAAAAGAGTCTTGGAAGTCCTACTGTGTCAGCATGTTGAGTGCCGCCTGCGATTCGACCTGGATCTTCTCAACGGCATCAAATCTTCGTCCCTTCAACTTGATTTTCATCCTCAAGAAGAGATAAAAATCGCGGAGGGGGGGGGGTTAAGTCAGACGAGGTGAATAAAAAACGACCGTCATGTTTTTTGATCAAAAAGCTAAAAAGGCAAAGATTTGATACAGTTGATGAGATGCTGACCGTATTTTCGCAAACGATGCTTAACGTGTTGACGCATAAAAATTTCCAAGACTCTTTTCAATTCCTGCACAAATACATTGAGATTGCGACATTTGTTCTCAAGAAAACTACTTTGAAAAAGATAGAAAAGCTTAGAGTCTACTGAATGAGTTTATTTTCTTACAAATACATTCCGGAAATTTTTGAGTAGCATTTTGGTATTTCATCTTCACATTTTTTAAATAAATATATGTAATTTTAATATCGCATTAGATTATAAAAATTTGATTAAGATAGTATGAGAATTAAATTGCATCAATCAAATCAGAAAGCAAATTGCAATATAATTTAAATCGAATGGAAGACGAATCGATCGGTGAAACTTCATACTTCGTTATTATCAGTTGCTTATAAGGGAAAAACGATATACACAGATGAATCTATGAAAGGTTTGAAGCTCAGATCTCTCGTTAGTCGATAAGTGGCCAATCCTTCATCAGCAAACGATATTGGGTCCCGATTACATCGAGGCTATAAGTTTCACGTAAAGACCACGTTAAAGTGCACCGTGCCGACCGGTAGCAGCACTCGCAGGCACTATCTGAGAAATAGTAGGAGGCTGAGAAGCGACTTCCGCGCCAACTAGTTTTAACGATGAGCCATCGCCATCGGCCGCCACCTCCCTCGCTCTTCCCGCGGGACTCTTCTTGTTTGCTTGCGCCGCATCGACATGCACCGATGCACTCGCGATGCACCGGTACGCGCCGAAGGACGACGCGGAACCGACGCATGCACGCAAGTCCGATCAAAACGAGCAAACGCGTCGCAGGCGTACGCCGAGCATAATCTGCGGCAACAGCTGATAATCGAGTTCGCGATATGAACAAAAACGCAAAAGTATCTATCTAACGCATTCGTGAGTTTTACAAACCGCGATATCTCGAATTAAATTGCTAACATGTACTCGATATATCAAATTAATGTATCAATTTAATGTACGAATGATAAGGATGATTTTTATTAGAATATAAAACGGTAGCAGACAAGTAAATTATGTTGGCAAAAAAAAAAACTACTAACGGTTATATTGCAATTTGATTTTTCAATTTAAGTCTCATACTATCTCAATCAAATTTTTATAATCCAATGCGGTATTACAATTACATATGTTTATTTCAAAAATATAAACATAGAATACAAAAAAAAATTACAAGGATTTTATAGTCAGAATTATTGGCATATCTAATGTCAACATATTTATTGTCTTGTTTTAAATAACACGGATAATAATGTATTATTATATTATCGGTGTAGTAAATATTATTAGAATACTGTTGATATTTTCTAGCTTAGATTTTGCAAGTGTATCTATCACAAGTATTAAAATATTTAAACCAGTCACATGAACACGTAATAATGGCACCTGTATCCAAACGCACCTTACGCGAATTCACAAACAAGAACCGGTTCGTATTCTCGGCTACCATTGATATCGTTTAGTTAGGTAAAGCTTCTAAAACATATGTACAAACATCGAACACGGAAGAGAACACGGAAAAACAAACGCTGTCGAGCGTTTTTGGAATTTCACGATTGACGTCGCGTTCAATTTGTTACATCACGTTTCGTCACGACGAAATGATCGATAAACGATTCTGCTAGGTGAACAATGTCATCATAATTCATCGAGAAAGATGTAACGGATTGTGAGATTTCAAGATGATCTTCCGTGTTGTGTGTAAGTTGAACAAAGCACACGTGATTTAAATCGAATCAAATAACTTGTTTCATTGAAAGACAGAAAGAATTGATCGGGACGGAGTCATCCCGCTCGTCAGAGCCTCGGCCTCGTCAAGTAAGAGAAATCATCCGTTCTTACGTGATACGGTGATCTCCATTCGATAATGAGAAATATTATGGGCGAAGCTTGCGGCATGATTCCTTTCACCGCTCGATTCTTCCGTTTCGGCCTAAAGAAGTCGAGGAACTGAGTTGGTTTCACGGAATCAGAATCGATTATCGTAAAGAGAAAGTGGGCGTTAATTTTTCACTCGACCTTCTTAAATCAGCATCGATCTTCTTCCTCCACGCTCAAAGATCCAATCGTATAAACACGATTAATTCAAACGTTGAAACCTTTCACGATTCGTATAAAGACGCTTTTAATAGCGAAACAAAATAGCGTGTCGAATCGCACGGGATAAAAGTAGAAAGGGCGGAACTTTTGATTCAAATGAAATGTACACGATGATTAATCGCATCTGTAGGCGATGAAAGATTTATAAATACAATTAATTCCTTAATTTTTTAATTTTACGTCAGATTGTATACGATTTATCATAGAATTTAATTATGAAATAAGAATACCAGACTAGAAAATTACATTATAAAGCTCTAAAAATATATACAAAAATTCTTCTAACAATTATCTATTGAATAAAATGTTCATTCTAACAAAATTTAAAAGTTTAATTAACATCCACATTTGTCGTAAAAAATAAATAATCATATTTTATCAATACGAAAATGATACAAAAGTAATTTAATTTGAAGAATCGAATAAATTATGTGATAATATTGCGGCTTACATTTTTATTTCTCTTTAAATAATTTCTTTCATGCGTTTAATAATCGCAAAGTTCCTCGACTTCTTAAAATTGACCGTACAATTTTTATCGAATGATAATGTAAAAATAAAAATTCAAGATAGACTCACGTTAACTTTGGCGAGATAGAGTTCCAGTTCCTTGTACGGATCCATCTCTGCTGTCCTTTCGTTTGTCACTTTGTCACTCTCATTACTCTCCATGAATTTCAAACGATTCGGCGTTTTCGTGATGATCGAGCCATTTTGCAGGCGACCACCACCTTCTTGCATCGTCTCCATGCTCTCGCGGTCACCTCGATGATCTTACACGCATTTTCTCGGACATCTGCAACGTGAAAAATGAATACAAGTTGGTAACAATAAAGAATAAAATAGCATTTATTTATCAAATGTTCTAACAACACAGATACATATTAAACGATAAAAATATAAATACTAAAATATTTAATAAAATAAAATTTAATGTAAATCAATTTCGGCAATTTATCGTAGATTGATTAATCCAATAAGCAAAAAATTTGGAAGCCAAATAGATATCATATAAAATTGAATTAGGAACGATTGAATAAGAATGGCAACGCAATAAAGAAATCATAACGCATGCCGAGGACGGTGCTTAATCGAGAACGAGAAAAGGGTGAAAAGGCAAAAGAGGACCAATGGGTGTATTCTGGCAAAGGCATTATAATTAGCCCCGCCGTGACTCACCGCGGCCGCCGCGTCGCGCGGTCCGTATAATCTCGGCTTGTCAAACACTTGAAAAGGGTAAAATGACCACCTGCGCTGTTATGATTGCATTTGACTAAATTTAGCGGCCGCACTAGCGTTAGTCACTGAGGCTAATTATATTTTGCGCAGATTAACCGCCCCGACGGCACGTGAGGGAAGCTAATCTGGAAATCAGCACCGCCGCACTTTGTATCCACTTCTCTGCCGCTCAAGATTGTATCGCGCAACGATTCGTTCTACGTAGACGAAAATCATTTTCCGCAACGCCTAAACATTGAGAAGCAACAGACGATTCGATCACACTGATTTTTGAACTTTATATGTGCGTTATATGTGTGCTTTTGCGCAAATTATACAATATTAATCGTTGAGTTTCGAACATTAGGATTTAAATAACATAAAATTTATAAAAAGATTAAATAATTAAATTTTCGATAAATTGCAATGAACAATCTGCTGAACAATGAGCTGAGTGTGTTCCAAATAATATCAATTATAATAAAGAACATGACGTAACACATATGCAGAATTAAGCCAATATAAATCATTTTGTGAGTTAACCCCGTGTACAAAAGTTTCTACAAGAATTCATAAATTACTAGCTAGCACTGTAAATAAGTTAGATTATAGAGTATACTACGTAGTTCTCGCGATATAAAGTGACATAAGGGGCGTGGGACATTATAAAGTGCAATCTGGCGGAATAATTTCTCTCATTTCGCTCAGTTGTGGTGGATTGATATTTCTGTTCAAGAATTACGCTAATGGTATTGAGACAAGAGTGCGATAGTAAAGCTAAAATATGAGCATGGTTTCACGCTCCGCCGATCTTGCTAATAATAATTAACATTACATTTTGTACTCACTTTCGACTACCGTATATAATTTATCGTGGCGTATCTATTCACCTGCAAAAAATGTCGAGCCGCGAAGGTAGTGCGATCTTATCTATTAACGTAATACGATTCTATCGAGTTTCATAATTGTTGCAAAACGATGTTCGTAATCGGTTGCGTTGAACTCTTGCAATTATTGAAAAAAAATCCCGACAATCCATTTATCGCGGCTCAGACTACGATTCATCACTCCCGAGATAACTTTGTAGATCGTATATCGTAAAAAACAATTTATCTTATCGCGCAAAACTTTCAAAAATTTTTACACTAACATTATAAAAAATACTGTAAGTAGTTTGCAGTGTTTTTTATAATACTGCAAGTAGTTGCAGTTATTGTAAAAATACTTGCAACTACACGTATCTTCGAAAAAAACATTTATCATAATAAAAATGTTCAGGGTCAACCGTTCCCTCTACGAGTCGCACCGTAGAGTTGCAAGTAAACGGAAGAAAAATAGCAGAGGCTTGGCGTTCTTGGCGCAACTTATGCAATGCGTTAAATGAATCATATCGGCGTAATTAAATCTGCGTATTGTACTTTACCTGATATGCTTGTAGCTCGCCGTATATCTCAACAGATCTACGTGCACGCGATCGCGAGATTACGATTCGATTGCATCGCTACTCGCCTGAAGAATACAATACCGCCGCCGTTACAATCGTTGAACCCGCTAACAATAAAGTCATGCATGAGAACACGAGTCGCCTGCCCGCACACGTAATACTAGAAAATGACCGGATGTCTAATCGTGGCCGGCTGCCGGCAGCCAATACGTCAGGTGATTTCACAGGTGAACGATGGTGCTCGTCGCACCTTAAGTGCGCTTGACTTCAGATAACAGCTGCGCATAACTTCCGCATTAATTTACAATTAACTCCTTAACGTCACAAACTTTTCTTCACATACAAGAGAAATCAAAATGTTAATTCTAATATCTAAATCAATCATAATTCTACTTTACCAATATAAATTGCTGTTGGACAATTTAATTTAGATACCGAATTAGTTGAAATAAAATATCACAAGTATTATGTGATTTTAAAAAGAATTGCGCTGAGTGTTGTTTTCTTTTTTTTTCTATTTATTTTATTTTATCGCGCAAAGTGATATGAAACTCAAATATCGGATGATCGTTTGAAACAAATTAAAACTTGTTAAGGTAAATAAAAAATTGTATCAGTATAGCTCGATAGAATTTTTTTCCCGATTCTTGTTCGATTCTTTATCGCGTGCACGGAAGTCGCAGTCGACGAAAAAATCCACTTTGTTTGACTTCGCGTAGGATGTGAGAATTTGTGGTTCACGATAGGTAGGTGAAAACTGTCAGAACGCTTCGTAAATAACTGCAATACATACCGATGCCTCCTCGTACCGATACCTCACCCTAATCGAATGCCATTCTGCGATAGAGGCGGATACGGCCCAATGGTTAAACTGAATTAAACGGCTCGCTAGTCGCGAGAGAGAGAGAGAGAGACGCGCGCCGTTCTTATCAGCTGGAAATTATTGCCGGTAATTTACCCCGCGATCCTTTTGCTCCTGGGCACGTTCACACCTGGGTGGCTCGCAGGAATACAGACGGAACAGATCGGAGATCGACTGCACGGCGTTAACTACCAACATTTTACTATGTAAATATCGACACGTTGAAATTTTATCCGCACGATATGAATATTTAATATTTTGGTAGCTTCTTCGTGCTTCTTAAATTTCGTAGACTTCAAACGTAAAATTATGTGTTATCTATGCATCCATGTGTCATCTTGTAAAGATAAAGGTAAGTAGCATATGTCTTTTTAAAAAATACATTAAAATAAAATTAGTATTACGTATACGTATAAAGATATAGAAAAATATTTTCGTTTCATGTTTTCTGAACAAAATGTAAAGTTTCGCGTGAACTTACACGCTGATGTATTGACTTGGCACTTAGATACCAGCGATAATCGAACACTTCCGCGCGCGTAGGCGGCTGTAACTCAATTCGCGAAATTTTTGCTCTTCCCGAGGTGCGATACATCGGCGATAATTGTTTTTAGTGTCTCCTCACTACCAGGAAGGCGGACGCGACGGCTTCGTGCTAATCGAAATCGTAAATCCGACCGATAAGAACGCCGAGTGTTCCACGTACGACATATTTGCTACGCGGAACGCAGTTTTAAAGCCGCTTTCGCCTCTCTTTACGGCGCGTTATTATCGCGCTCTCGCGCGCCGTAACGTTCCGCAACATCTTTGCTCTCATCGCATTACACGAAGTGTGATCTCGTCGCGCGTAGGCGAAAATGATCGGCAATTTGACATTATACGCAATAATGAGGATGATAAGAGGAATACTTATCCGCGCTGCAAAAAATAGCACGTGGCTATTTTTAGAAAATACTAATTTGACGGATACATCGACATAGTAAAACAGCAGTTGAAACTCGTCACAAAACGCCTCACTGATTCCTGCTTCACGCACTAATTATTTAGGCAGGATACAGCGCGCGCGAAAAGGCAAAAAGAATTAAACGACGCGTATAACTGCTTCCATGCATCG